TCCAGCTCTACACCTTGTTATCTCATGAATGGGCAGGGTCAGGGCTCACAGACTCAGGAAGGCTTTTAGTTTTGCTTTCAGTTAGTTCAAGGTTTCTGCTGGCTGCTGGAGCTAAAAGCTTGAGTCCTTCGCTGCTAGAGTGAAGAGACAGCCCATGAGAATAATACCTGTATTGATGAATTGCATTTTTGCCAAAGGATGTGTTTATGAGATGCTGCCTATATTGGAATGATTGATGATCAATGGTTAAATAATACATTATCTTGTTAATTATTTTCATAGAGCAAAGTTATGCCAATTTTTCCTTTTGTTGTATTTTAACTACACTATAAGAATAAAGTGCATCTTCATTAAAGCTTAGAGGTGGACCAATCAAATTTTTGTTTTTCCTTTATTCATTCACTGGATGAGGGCATCACTAGCTTGGCTGCATTTATTGCCCATCCCTAATTGCCCAGAGGGCAGTTAAGAGTCAACCACATTGCTGTGGGTCTGGAGTCACATGTAGGCCAGACCAGGTAAGGATGGCAGTTTCCTTCCCTAAAGGGCATTAGAGAACCAGATGGGTTTTTTTTGGACAATGGATTCACAGTCATCATTAGATTCCTTATTACAGATATTTATGGTATTCAAATTCCACCATTTGCCGTAGCAGGATTCGAAACTGGATCCCCAGAACATTATCTGGGTCTCTGGATTAATAGTCCAGCGATAATACCACTAGGCCATCACCTCCCTTGGAACACAGTGCTTACACTTGCTTTTTAAAAAAATGTTAGGGTCTAGACTATCTTTGCAATATACTTTGGGGGTCCGGTCTGGTCCATAACAAAGGTTACTTGACAAATCCAATTTGCCAGCAGACTGAACTCATGTAAACCAGGTGTACCTTAGGTTTACCTGATATAGCACAGGGAATGATCCCCATATTCAATTCATGCAGATAATCAATGCTCAAGAATTCATCCCTAGCATTCAAGCTCAACTTCAGTCACTGTCCACATTATTACAAAAGTCACATTTTTAACAAGAGAGCAGAGAATCATGAAGCTGATTAGTCTGAAAATAATTTGAACAGTTTCTCACCTGTTGGGTCACTCTTTTAATTTCAACAGGAACGATCAAGTCAGCATTGCCGATTAGCTGAAACAGCAAAAGTCTGAATTAGGTTAACTATACATGTGCACTGTTAACTCCCAGCAACACATTCCCTGTGCCATCCAAATTACAAAAGGTCTCAACAAAAAACCAAAGGTTTAGGAATTCTTGTGAAGTGCATTAGTTCAATAAAATCTGAACCCTAGATGCAATTGGAATTTTCCCTCCTTTTCAACGTTTACTCTCCCAACAAACAGATTTAAGGCAACTATCTGCAGCTGAGACATCATTAGGAACCAGTTTGTTTTAACTAGACCGATATCCAAATGTTAAATTATACAACAAAAGACTTACAAAGGTTTAATTGTGAATCTATAGTTTAGCACAAACACCAGTTCTCACCTCTATTTTCTGGATCCTGTCCCTGTCCAGACGCCAACTCCCACTGGGGAAGAATCCAGTTTATTTTAATACAATAAAACCCAACAGACTAACTAATCACCCAATTAACAAATATCATACATTGCCCACTAGGGGCAGTGGAATAAAAACTAAAACTTTAAAACAAGGTGGGTGTGGAGAGAGAAAGCATTTGAATTAAATCCAAACAGTGTTGGAGGGGGAAAACAATGTATTAATGCATCCCAACCCTGCAGTGCCACTTCTAAAAGCTTTGAAGGTCCTGCTAGATGCAGTGTGATCCTTTTCCAAGGACACCCGGGTGCAAATGTAGCTGCAGAAGAGGGGCATTTGGTCAAGAATTTTGACCCCCACCATGGCTGCCCTGATCTATTTTTGGATACTTTAGATCGGCCCAGGACCAGACCTATGAGGGAATCCTCCAGCTTGTTCATGCCCTCCTGTGCACCAGGTGCCTGAAGATCAAGAGACTGCAGCTGAAGTACAGCCAAAAGATTCTTTAAGTAACTAAACAGGTGATTATTGCTTGCAGGAAACTTACGCATGGTCCACAGGCCCCTCTTATGTTATGGGTTTATGTCCCACCTGCTCCAGAGGTGTGTAATAATATCTCTGAACAGGGTGATTAGAAAAACAAGTTAATTTTTGTTTTAAAAATGTCTCACAGACTCTACAGCAATGCAAAATAAACAGTTGGGATGGAAATCCGTGAAACATCTTAACAAATGATTGCATGGGACTGCTGCGTGTGCCCTGCTGGAAAGAGGGAGTACTCCACCAGTGATCCCCGCTGCCCTGCGGCAAAACAGAATGCCAGAGTGTGTCCAGGTGGTGGATAAAGCAGTAATGTACAGAAATTTCCTCCGTGCCATGTGGGAGACATTCCACACCATTGTTTTAAAAAAATTCAACCTGTTCAGGTATGTTATGACAACCCTGGAGCAGGTGGGATTAGAACTCAGGCCTTATGGCCCTAAGGTAGTGACACTATCTAACACAGATTCAAAAATGGTGGACTGAGAACACAGTGGATCTTGCAGCTGCCCCTGAGATTCAGGCTTATTTCTAAATTTAGGATGTTGGTGAGGCCTCTTTTGGAGTACTGTGTCCAGTTCTGGTCTCCCTGTTAAAGGAAGGATATTAAGCTGAAGAGGGTTCAGAAGAGACTGACTAGGACGTTGTAGGGAATGGACGGTTTGAATTATAAGGAGAGGCTGGATAGGCTGGGACTTTTTTTCACTGGAGCGGAGGAGGCCAGGGGTGACTTTATAGAGGTTTATACAATGATGAGGGGTATAGATAAGGTGAATGGCAAGTGTTTTCTCCCTAGGGGGCATTTTTTTTGGGGAGAGGAGAAACATTTGAAAAAAGATATAAGGGGCAATCTTTATATAAAAAGAGGTTGAGTGTGCAACAGAGAGAGGGGGCGTGAGAGAGCAAGCGCACAAGGAAGGAACAAGGAGAAGAAAAATTATATTCCCCATTTTCAGTGGGAATTAATGGGATTTATCCCAAGTTTCTTCTGTCCCTTATAAAGCAGTCACCTTACTCATTGGAATACAGTTCCCCTTGTGAACACAGTCTCCATCCAGTATACATGATGGAGCATCACAAATACAAGCACGTTTCCCCTCTCTCTACACACTCCCAATAGGCAGGATATGTTTGACTTAGAACAAAGCAGTCAACCAAAAGGAGGCTGTAGAGAATTGCAAGGTTAGGACATGCTGATGGATTTCTGAAAATCAACCACAAACTGTCCTACAAGTTTTCAAAGACAGAGCTATTGCCCTCACCTTGAAGTAACTGTGAATCAATGTGTCATCTAAATCGATGAAAAGACAAAGCCTCCCTGCAACCTGTGGCTCAATCGGGAGCAGAAGCCAAGTGCCTGGAATCTGAGAAGAAAACAAAGCAATTTTAAACAAACCTGCTCTAGGCAACAAGCAGCAGAGATTGTTAACAGATTTGGAGGAGAAGCAAGACAGGGAGGGAGACACAGAGAGACTGGGAGTTTGAATTCATTTTTAAAACTTCATGGCCTCCCAATATAACAGCTCTGACACACGATGTGATGTGAGAAACATCTATCCTAATGAGTCTTTTCCTCTGAGGGGGAAAAAAAACAGTATCTCCCTCAAGCCAGAGATCTTGTTTAAGCAGGATCATGAGTCATAAAAGATTCCACTCTTAAGTGCCCCAAGGATTCAGATGGGATGAGCAGCACTGAGCCACACAGGTCTCAAGATCAGTCTCAGATGTGCAGAATTTACTGGTCTCAGCTGGATCACTCCCTGTGACAGTGGATAGCATGCAGTTGAAGAAACACAGCATCAAGCTTGCCTTCGTTACACATTGTTGACGCTTACTCCAGAAAAATAAATGGGCCCCTGGATACAGTCGCAGAGGGCTCCTGGTGTCCACAAACCTGCACCTCAGCAACACAACAGTAGAATGAAACTAGTCCAGAGGATCACTTCAATTACCTTAAGTAAGGGTTGAAGAGAAATTTTACAGATCATCCCTCAGTTAATTGGCTTGAGGTTTTTAAACTTTTTGTCATCTGTTATGTCACTACACGTGAGACAGTCTGGATGGACCAGTAGTTATTTTCCCATATGGAACTGAAGGGAGTAGCAAGCATCCAAGATGGATTTCTCAAAAAGAGGTTTTCGGAAGCTCTGAGGCAAATAGAACAGTAGCTGGGG